CAATAGCCCCAACACTGATGGCATCCATGTTCAATTGTCAAGAAATGTTACAATCTTCGACACCTCTATCAAAACGGGAGATGACTGCGTCAATTGGCCCCGGCACCAAAGACTTGTGGATCCAGCACATATCCTGTGGACCAAGTCACAACATTAGGTCAAATTTTATAGTGGTTGCATCGCCATGCTTATCTATTCATAAGTTTATGTTCATTTATAGTATAACACATGGACTAGTTATACATGTGGCTGCATTCATTTACCACCAATAATTTCTCCTAAATAGTTAGTAGTTGTTTTGGGCAATGTTCTAAAAATTCCTGCCTAGGTGCTATGCGGCTGGCTATCGCCCCAATTAATCCCCGAGCGTTTGAAAATTAAGAAAGTACGCCTAGACCCGCTTAGGCATCCGCCTAGCCCGCCTAAGCCTACCTAGGCACCCACCTAGGTTGTGACTCTCACTTCAACAGAAAAATCGATCGATAACTTTCATTTTGCATTTTTATTTTTCAATAAAATGTAAGACTTGTTAAATACTTGGATGAACACTCATTGTAAGCTTGTTCCCCATGTTTTCAAAAGGTTTTAATACTTTATAATTAATATGTCGTATTATTTTGCAATTTATGTATTATAATATAATTGTGTGTGTTTTTTAAGTATAAATGGGCAATATATAATAAATTTACATAAATCCGCCTAGTCCGCCTAGGCGCTAGGCCTTAGCGCCCCCTCCGCCCGGCTAGTGCCTAGCGTCTCTTAGAACCTTGGTTTTGGGTTATGCTTACAAGGGTGTGGTAATTACATCATAGGGAGTTTGGGCAAAGATTTGGAAAAGGAAGGAGTTCAAAACGTGACGGTGAAGGATGCAATTTTCAAGGGTGGCCAAAATGGTTTGAGGATCAAGTCTTGGGCGAGGCCGAGCCATGGGTTTGTTCAAGGTGTCCAATTCTTTGACGTCGTCATGCTCAATGTCCAAAATCCCATTATCATAGACCAAAATTACTGCCCACACAACCTCAACTACCCTGGTCAAGTATAAGCTTAATTCAATATATACATGCGGATGATATGTACATCCTTAGTTCCTCTCTACTTACTGTCTCATTAAAAAATTTCATCTGTCGTGCTTCAATATATAGGTATCGGGTGTGAAAGTCAATGATGTATTGTTCCGAAGCATTCAAGGAACATCGGGAACAAAAATCGCAATAAACCTTGATTGCAATGCAGCAAATCCTTGCAGCGGGATAACGCTCGAGAACGTGAGCATGATCTGCAAGAAGCAAGTGGCTCAGTCATATTGTAGTAATGCAATTGGAAAGACTTCTGGCCTTGTACACTCAACTAGTTGTTTATGATGGCCTTCAACAAAAATCTAGTCATCAAAAAACATCTACAGATGATGACCTACACATAGAGACACATAATGTTATGCAAATAAACATCATTCATTTATTCATTACTAATTAAGTTGACAAGAACTCCATTAATTCTATGTTTCTCATACAAATTCATTATATTGGAAATCATCACCATTAATTCTCCGTAGCCTTTTAACATGCATTGGAAAGATTTTTTAATTTTTTTTAGTGGAAATGGTATATGTTGATGGAAAAGGATCCTCGCCGGATCCTTTTCCTGGGGATCCTAGGGATCCCGTGATCATGACCGTTCATCATATATCTTGTCAGTTTTCATTAGGTATTATATTTATATTTAATTTTAAAATTTAAATTTTGAAATGATTTCTGACCATGCGATGACGAATGATCATAATCATGGGATCCCTAGGAAAAGGATCCGGTGATGGAAAAGGATCCTCGCCGGATCCTTTTCCTGGGGATCCTAGGGATCCCGTGATCGTGACCGTTTATCGTACATCGTGTGGTCAGTTTTCGTTAGGTATTATATTTATATTTAATTTTAAAATTTAAATTTTAAAATGATTTCTGACCACGCGATGTATGATGAATGGTCACAATCATGGGATCCCTAAGAAAAGGATCCGGCGAGGATACTTTTCCTATATTGATGAAAAAACTTCAATTACAAAATGAGTCTTGGAAGATGACATTCCATATAACATTAAAGGCTTAAAGGCTTCTCGAACCAAAGTATAAAAGTGTCAACTAAAAGGCCAAACTTAGCCAAGTGGTGAGCGACACCATTACAAGGCCCTTTTTTTCTTTTTGGTGAAAACCATTACAAAGCCTACATATATGATTGCATAATAGGTCTATTGGTGGAAACACTCCTGCTATTTAAATCCCTATATCTAGGGCATTAAATTTTGATCAGCAGTTGATCCAAAGCAATCCACGGTGGGGGATGTTTGAGGAAGCCATTGAAGGAATTTGAAGTTGGAGGGTTATAGGGTATTTCTTTTCTGGAAAAACTTGGGACTAAAAGCTTTTGAAATCTTAGGGCTCAAGATTGCTCAGAATGGATGGTAAAAAAGAAGTCTTAGTTTGTTCCCTTTTTTAAGTATACACAATTTAAAATTGATTCATTGGTGTTCGTGAGTTAGTGGAAGAGTTTTGTTAACACTCAAGTAGCGCTTAAAACTTTAAAGAACCGCGAATACAAAACGTTTAAACATAATTATAGAAGTATCAACTAAAAGACCAAACTTAGCCAAGTGATGAGCGACACCATTACAAGGCCCTTTTTTTCTTTTTGTTGAAAACCGTTACAAAGCCTAGAGATATGATTGCATAATAGGTCTATCGATGGAAACACTCTTGCTGTTTAAATCCCTACATCTGGGGCATTAAATTTTGATTTGAATCGGTAGACGATCCAATGTAATCCACGGTGGGGGATGTTTGAAGAAGCCATTGAAGGAATTTGAAGTTGGACGGTTAAAAAGTTTTTTTTTTTCTAGGTAAACTGGGGACTGAAAGCTTTTGGTAATCTTAGGGCTCAAGATAGCTCAGAGTGAATGGTAAAAGTGAAGTCTTAGTTTGTTCCTTTTTAAGTATTGACAATTTAAAATTGATCCATTGGTATTTGTGAGTAAGTAGAAGAGTTTTATTAACACTCAAGTAGCACTAAAACTTTAAAGAATCGAATACAGAACGTTTAAACATAATTAAAGCCAAAATTAACGACTTAATTATGTTTAAAGGGGCAAATATTTAGATTGAAAATAAGTAGTTGGGCCTAATCAAGGCCCAACCCTACCTATTCCTATTTAATGCCCAATGGAGCTGTTTAATTTCAGAGTCCCATAAGGCTAGCACGCGAGCCCAGGTGCAGTTTGAAGAGAGCACGACACATGGAAATAGTCAATAAGTACGTCTCACTGAAGTGGCACTCCAGTTGAGTTCAAGAGAATTTAGTTGCTTTATAGTGGCAGTGTAGGAGTTTCAAAGGTTTGAAGAGTCAAAGACTTTGGAATATCACCTCCATTTTTGGCATATAAATGCAGTCGTTATCGTTGGCTTAAGCCATATGTCACCTCAAAGATGGATGGGAAAAGTAAACAGTGTATTTTTTTTAGTTATAGTCTTCAGCATAAGGGTTACAGATGCTTAAACTCTCAATCCAACATGATACATATCAAGACATGTTCTCTTTGATGAGGAACACTTTCCTTGTCATACTTCTCAACCACTCACTATCACTCCCTCTCACAGCTCTACAACAGAGATACCTTCTCGTTTTAAATTTATACTTCATGGTAATCCTAAACCTCAACCATCTCTATCCTCTGCTTCACTACCACATTCATCAACATCTACCCATCAACCATTTTATTCACCTACCTCTGCCCAACCTTTACTCAGTCAACAATCAACTCTTATCACCTTCACCACAACTCATTCCTCAGAGACCAATCACCACAAATTCTCATCATATGATTACAAGATCCAAAGCTGGCGTCTTCAAGCCCAAAGCTTTATCTGCCATAAAGTATCCAATTGATCCTCAAATTTTTGTGCCTACTACTTATATGCAAACTTCCAAGCATGACCGTTGGAACAAGGCTATGCTTGAAGAATTACAAGCAAAAAAATCAATAGGAACTTGGACTGTTGTACCCCCTTCTCCTCATCAAAATTTGGTTGGCTACAAATGCTTCTTTAGAATCAAAAGAAATCCCGATGACACCAATGATAGATACAAGGCCAGACTTGTGACCAAAGGTTTTCACCAATAAGATGGAATTGATTTCAATGAGACTTATAGTCCTGTTGCAAAACCTGTCATAATCAGGATCTTATTAACACTTGCAGTACAATATGATTGGTTTCTAAATTAGCTTGACATTAATAATGCCTTTCTTCGTGGTAATCTGAAAGAAGAAGTCTTTATATAGCAACCTCCAAAATTTATTGATTCATCTAGGCCATCTTTTGTCTACAAGTTGAATAAGTCTCTTTATGGCTCAAAAGAAGCTCCCAGAGTCTGGTATGACAAGTTGTTTGACACTTTTAAACTTTCAATCAGATTGTTCTTTGGTCCAAATGCTTATTTCTAGGGCTGGGCACGGGCCGGGCCGGGCCCAATTTTGAAGGAACCGGACCGGACCTAGGTTCAAAGAGAACGGGGCGAGCCGGGCCGGGGATTACATTTTCTAATATAAGAACCGGACATTACCCGGCCCGGTTGAAACGGGCCGGTTCGAGCCGGGTCCACAGGTCCTTTTTTTTTTTTTTTTTTGGTTGTTTGAAAAAAAAAAAAAATTTGTACGGATTGCAGATTGCAATCTGCACAAAAACTGCACAGATTGCAATCTGCACAAAACTGCACAGATTGCAAAACTGCACAAATTGCAAACTGCACAAAACTGCACAGATTGCAATCTGCACAAAACTGCACAGAAAACTGCACAGATTGCAAACTGCACAGATTGCACAGATTGCAATCTGCACAAAACTGCACATTAAACTGCACAGATTGCAAACTGCACAGATTGCAAAACTGCACAGATTGAAATCTGCACAAAACTGCATAGAAAACTGCACAGATTCACATCCAATCTAAATACAAAGTCCAACATCCAAGTTCATAGATTAACAATACATCCAAAATAATAATATTACATCTTCCAACATCTAAAAATCAAATCAACATACAAAATATCGTTAATTGAGTACATCTCTTGGTAGTCTAGAATTTAGATTCTAACTCAAGTTACATTTCAGGTTGCATTTAGGACCAAGGTCTTTCACCCAAACATTAATAGCAACGGAAGCATATGTCTTGATATTCTCAAAGAACAATGGAGCCCGGCACTAACCATTTCCAAGGTTTGTGTTTTCTATCCCTCTTATTAATTTATGAACATATTGTAAAAGAAAAACTACAAGAAGAAATGGCATGACTATTTCAGAATTTTCAGTACAAGAAAGGAACTATCTTTGCCCATGTGCCCCACACTGCGAGCGTAATGCATGAATACCTGATTAATGAGATCCTTCTCAGCAAACTTCAGTGAATCAACCTCTTCTTTGGATTGGCAGGCCTTAAATTTCCCTTTCACCACTTCCAAGTTCCAACTACAAAAAGTCTCTATTATAATTTTCCTTGTATCAATTAAACTTTACAAAGCATATAAATAATGTATAACCATGGTGCCACAGCAATGAAATCATACAACTAATAAAATATGGGGAAAAAGAGATACACAATTCTATATTGTTCTCATTTTGTCGCATCTTAGTCATTTAGAACTTCTGCATACTCAGTGAAGAAAACCTTTAATGATAGCTCTAGCGAGAATAATACCATGTACAAGCAAAGCTACATAATTTTATGCTCAGATATAATCCAGTACTCCATTTACTTGACCACGCTATCAATCATTTCAATAGCTAGATCATCATTCACTAACACCAAAATTCCAGTAATCAATCATCATTTTGTTAATACAATCACTGCGTCGGAGAATCACCTCACTACCACACTACTTAACAAAGCTCAAATAACAGTTCTTCTATTCCCTCGTAGCATTTCTTGTTTCGGTTGGTATCATGAACGGGAGTCAGTACGAGGTCGACATATACTCTATAAAGCTAAGCTTTTTTCACCTTCTTTATCTTGTACTAGTACTACCCTTGATTTCCTCTTGTCGAAGAGGATGAACCTGTATGTTTTTAGTTCCTGTAATCTCCCTTAACTATATTATATGCATGTTTAATAAAAGCAGAGAGCACTCATATACTTAACTGCGATAGTTCTACAACTGCTCAGCATATAGCGTCAACCGAGATTTACGAGCCACAAAAATATGAAATGCTAGAAATGCTACATAAGACATGGTGGACGTAGTCCACCAAATTGCCTTAACCATTTCTTTTCAAATTTTGTTTTTCGTTTTCACCTTTTTGTTATTCTCATTTCTCACTGCTACAGAGCTATGGGGAATTTGATTGGCAGGGACAGAAAAAAGGAAAAAGAGCCAGAGAGAGAAGAGCCTGAGAACTATGGATATCAAATACTCGAAACCAATAAACTATGGATATCAAATACTCTTAAATTTTTGCAAATTTAAATACCAAACAACTTAAAATCTACAATCTATAAGCAAATCCATAAAATTCAAAACCAATAAACAAGTTTCTGCAAGTAATCAAATCGTAGCAGTCCATATAATCAATCAAAAAGCTTATGCAATCATAGCCCCAAAAACCCTAAATTCCCAAATCAAAAACCCACGTAATTCCTAAATCAATTGAAAAGCTTATGCAAAAATCCTAAATTCCTAAATCAGAAACCCTAATTCATAAATTACCTAGGAATTTGCAGGATGATGGTAGTGTTCTCGACGGCGAGGTTGGTGTGGACCGTGTCGTGGTGGTCGGAACTCACGATTGGGAGGATTGAAGGAGAGTCAGGAGACGATCCTGCGATGGTGATGGTGGCTACCTGAGGTCCTGATGTAATGTCGACAGTCACTGACTCACTATGAGTCTCAGGGAGTCGAGTCAGTAGGGGTCTGAGACGAGAGAGGAGAGGAGATTTGGGGAGTGGGGTCTGAGACGATCGAGTGAGGTCTGAGACGAGAGAGGAGAGGAGAGGAGATTTAGGTAGTGGGGTGTCGACTGTGGGAGTCTGGCAGGCAGAGTCTGAGACTCTTACTTGAGTGCGATCAGATTAAATCAACGGATCAGATTAAATCTCAAATTTTTGGAAGGTGGAAACGGTTCGGGTCGGGGACCCGTTTCCTCAGCAATTAAGACCCGTCCGGTCCCGCAAATGACATGGACCCGCCCCGCCCCGCCCCGCCCCGTTTCAGAATTTTAAAAACAGGACCCGTCCCGTACCCGCCCCGAATAGCTCGGACCCGCCCCTAACCGCGGGTCCAGGCCCCGTTTGCCCAGCCCTACTTATTTCTATTAAGATTTTATAATACAACTCAGTTCTTTATTTCTTGTTAAGGATTTGGATCCTTTACATTATTTTCTTGGTTTAGAGGTACAAAGATCAACAGAGGGTATCTTCTGTCCCAAAGTAAATATGCATTAAATATTCTTGTTAAGACACATATGGATGATTGTAAACCTTGCGACTCCTCTTGGTACCCAAAGATTGGATCACACTGGCACAATATTGTCTAATCCGAAGGAATACAAATAAATAGTAAAGGCTCTTCAATATCAAACCTGGACTAGATTAGATCTTTCCTTTGTAGTGAATCAAGTATGTTAGGTTCTCTATTGTCCAAGGAATTCCCACATTCAAACTGAAAAGAATCTTGAGATTCTTAAAAAGTTTTGTTGATCAAGGTCTATGGTTCAAGAAAAGCCCTCTGCAACTCACTGCCTTTTCTAATGCAGATTGGGCAAGCTGTGTTTTTGACAGAAAATCTAGCTCATACCGTTGTTGAACTCACATGGATTTGCAAGATTTTCATAGATATTGCCTTCCCTCTTACTCAAATTCCCAAGATTTGGTGTAATAATGTATCTGCAATCTTACTGGCATCTAATCATATGTTTCACGCTCATACGAAACATGTGGAAATCAATTACCACTACATTAAGGAGCATGTTCTTGCCAAATTGCTCAAGGTTCAGTGTATTAGCACTCAACATCAACTCGCAAATATTCATACAAAGCCTTTGTCCAATGCTAGATTTTAGTATACTTGGCTCTCCATCATTCAGCTTGAGGGGTGTAAAAGACAACTCATATTTAGTTGTTTTTAGTTATCTTGTATAGTTATAAGTTTGTTATAACTATTTTTTAACTAATCCTAGTTTAGTGAGTTAATTAGGTTAGATTAGTTGCGAAGCTTTATTTGGCAGGTGTAATCCTATGTCTATCGTTATCAATGAAATGCTCCTATTAGAAAAACTTTATGGGTTGCTATTGCGCTTCTCGTTTTCTTGTGTCATGATGGTTTATAGACACTTCATGAGCTATTAACTGAGTTGTAATTTCTTATTCATTAAGAAAGAAATATACAAGCTTCCTTTTCATGTGAAGGCCTACCTAGCTAAGGCTTTCCAAAGCCACCCTTAAATTGATACAGCCTTCCCAACAGTTGTAGGGAAGTTGTGTGTAAATCAACATCCAACAATTAAGTTGATAGCCTCTAAATAATGGGAAACTAATTTATTATACACGTCATTGTTCTCTGTTTGGATAGCACAATACATCACACCATGTTTATTTTAATAAGTTAATTTTTTTTTTCCTTTATTTAATCTAACGATTAGAAATAAATATGAAGTTTTGAAATCAGTTCCCTGAAAAATTTGTTGTACACTTAGTACTACGGTCTAGTGGTATTCCTCTTCACTTGTAAGAGTGATTTCTTAAGTTTGATTCTCCCCAAAGATGAATTTGAACCACATTATTACTAGCCATTGTGATGTCTACTATAATCTTGGAGTCATTAATTACAATCTAAGGATTGGCGTGCATCGCAAGTAATTACATTGCTAAGAGGATGCAACATCTTCTTCCTAGATATATTCTCCACATTTAATGAGGACTTTACTTTACTATCCTAAAAGATCTTTTCTTCTACTTGTATATATGTACCCTTCTAGGGTCTATCTCTGGTAGCGCAATCTTTGCATACTTATAGGGTAAAGAAGTTTACCATGTTTTCAGTTTGATCTCTGTCTTACTATTTACTGAAAAGCAAAACCAGCTGTTGATGAAGAATCATTAAGTTAGACCTATTGGCTCAAGTGTTGTGCCTAAAGCCCATGCCAACACATCTTGAGGCCCACAAGGGTGCACGAAGCATCGTGGCCATGGGAAAGGTTCCAAACCTCCACCACGGGCTTATGGTCAGCAGCGTAGAAGCCAACCCTAAGGAGAAAATCAGGCCTTAAAGCGCAATACCCTGGCTCCAAAGGCTTCCAACTTCAAGAACTAAGGCAAAGCTTCCACCACCGTAGAAGCAAATATGTGTTATCGATGTGATTCAAAAGATCAATCATCCCAAGTTTACTGAGCTTCCGCTCATTTTGATGCTAAATATCTTTCACGTCGTAAAGCCATAGTGATAAACTTTGTTCAAGTGGACAATCCGAAAGATACCACTTTGGAGATTTCTATTTCCAAGAGGCATCGCACCAATTGAAGAATAGAAATTTTACACATGTGCCGAAGTGAGACCAAGTTCCCCTAGTGGCCGAACCCCCTTGAAATTTTTTTGTTTAAGTTTTTTGAACAATTTTCTATATAATTTTATTATTTGTGTGTTTTAATTTAAATTTTTAGATAACTACCTACTGATATTATTTCTCGAATAATTAATTGAATTAATAGAATTCGAAATTTAAAGTTACATAACTGTTCAAATTTATATTCTAATGTTACATAATAACGATAAAGTTACACAAAATGACATTGCTATTTTTCAAAAAGAAAATCTACGTATAAATTTACGTAGCGGGCGTTATAATGCACTACAAACGTATGATGTTATACTTAAATGTGATCACATTAAACTATTAAGCTTTAATTTAAAGAGTACCATTGCCCTTTTTTCCACTAAAGGGTACAGTACACTAACCCTTCTAACATATTTATCTTCTTCTTTTTTTAATATTAATTACGAGCATATAATTTATTTATTTCATTGGTGAAATGGACAAAGTATTTAATGAGGAAGGCATCTATGCTGTGGAGAATACCCAATAGTTTAATTTTGGGTAAGGGTATAAAATAATTTTTGAGAATAAATATGGTACATTCATTACCAAACTGAACTGTTGTCATCCTTATAAGCTATTCTAATAATCTTATTATTCTTAATCCTAAGGTTTGAATACTGAAACACAAGAAAGACACAAAAATAAAGATCAAAACAGTGAAATTTTTAAGTGTAGCTCAAATAATTAAAGAAAATTGCCATCTATTAGAGCCCATTGGTCTTGTATTTAGTCACCCATCGCTTAAAATCGCTCCTATAAAATGAGATAAACAACAGAGAAATGCAGAGTTGAAGAAGAAGAAAATAATTCTAAGACTAACTGTTTTGGGTTTTGAATAAGGCACAACAACAGAATTTGGGGATAATCCCTTGGTCTTCTTCAGGGTTACTCCACTGAGGAATGAGTGGCCATGAAGGAAATTAAGTACATTTCACTTGGTATGAGTAGATTTATTAACAAGTCAACGGCTAAATTACTATTAAAGCTATATACTTTTTTCATTAAATTATTAGAGTGATGTATTATTATAAGATAATATTAAGAAGACTAAAATTTCAAATTAAATTTACAAACTAAATGATGCATCGCTAATATTAAATAAGTACGTTAATCAACTTAAATAATAATTCAATCATTAATAACCACATCATTTATTTTACAAAATTTAATTTAAAAATTTGTCTTCAGTGATACTCAATTACGAATGATACGGAAAATGAATGATTAAGATTAAAAATAGAAAATTAAATAGTTATGAAAATCAAAATGGCTAAAACACACACAACATTAAATATTGCGTAGCATTGAAGCCGAATTTTTACAAAATTAATCTAATATAACGTATATCTACAGTAACTGATTAGCAGCCGCGATGTACAAATATAGTAATTAATTTGTGGAGAGAGTGAGCATGCAATAAACCATTAGGCAGACCATTAGGAAGTAAGTAAAACGCAAAAGCGTAGCTTAGCAACCAAATTATTGGGCTTAATTATTTCCGGCGCAGCTTTCTTGAAAAATGCTTTCCATCTAAGGCTGCAGATTCGTTCTCTCCTTTTACGTGTTTCATTTATGTTTCGTTTACTAATATTTTAACACGTATCTTTTAACTTAATTGAAAGATAACTCCGTTAAGTTTTTATTAGACATTTAAAAATTAAAAACAATATCCAACACAGGAGGATCCTTCTGCGGATTTTTAAGTTCCTTCAGATCAAAATCCATAGATCAACACCCACAGATCAAAATCCCTAACCAAAACCCATGCGACACAACGAAAACGACGATAGGCCGAGTTACTGAGAGTGAAAACGAAGATCCGCTTGGATGCCATTTGTGAAACTCATAGTTTTCTTCTCAAACTCTGATAGGCCGAGTTAATGAGAGTGAAAACGAAGACGGCGACAATTCGAATTCGGTTGAAGCGGAAACGTGATTTTTGATGGGGGAGGTGGGTTGATTGAGAGTGCAGAAGGTGTTTGATAATATGACTGAGAGAGACTTGGTCTTGGAATTCTATGATCTGGTGTTACACTCAAAAGGGTCTTCACCCTGAGTCATTGAAGATGTATAATGTGATGGGGAATGAGAATCTGGGTCTTGATGGGTTTACGATTGTTGGGTTGCTTTCGCCTTGTGCTCAATTGGGCGCATTGAATATTAAATAAAAAGTAACTAAAAAACTTGACAGAGTTATTTCTTTGTAAGAGTAAATTATAGCAACCGTCTCTTAACTTTAAATCAATTGGAGCAATGGTCCATCAACTAAAAATCAATTATCATTGGTCTCTCAACTCATCAAAACATGCAACTATGATCCCTCAACTAAAAATCTATTACCATTTATCCCTGAACTTTAATTCAACTGGAGAAACGGTCCCTTAACTTTAACCCAATTTGAGCAATGATCCCTCAAACTTTAATCCAATTTTAGTAATGGTCCTTTCAACATAACTTATTTTGACAAAATTTTAACGACGTTGACGAAAATGATCATAGCTACATGTTTTGATGAGTTGAGGGACCCCAATTGCGGCAATGGTTGTTCCAACATAATTTATTTTGACAAAATTCTAACGAAGTTGACGAAAATGACCGTAGTTACACATTTTGATAAGTTGAGGGACCAATGGTAATGGCTTTTTAGTTGAGAGACCATTGCTCCAATTTGATTAAAGTTGAGAGACCATTGCTACAATTTACTCTCTTTGTAAGTTGCATGACATGTGTCAAAATATTAGTAAACGAGACACAGATGAGACACGTAAAAGGGGACAACAGATCTGTAGCCTCCATGTAAAGGCATCCATTTCTAATTAATATAATAATTAATTTACTTAAAATCTAGACCATCCTGTATCTATATGATTTTATATACAACCAGTGGCGAAGTCAGGAATTGAAGGGGGAGGGGCCAGGTTATAAGAGTGCAATGACTTCCATAATTTATCAATACAAACAAATTACAATTGTTGCCAGCAAGGTTTCATATCATGAAAATGTCGCATAATAGGTTAACAAGGATCATTTTGGAGATAGTATCTACAAATTGCTTCACGATAATTAGATGGATAATCAAGCATTCGACGTCTATGTCCAAGGTCTACAGGAAGATCAGCCAATATTTCATCCAACTCAGTAACCTTACTTCGTTGTGAACTACTCGGAATATTCGAAGGAGGACTTCTTGAAATATTTAAAGGAGAAGGACTACTCGGAATATTTGAAGGAGATGGCTACCAGGAGGATTTACGCATTGTTTCTTATAGTATCGTTCCATTACGTAACTGTACAATGGAAAGAAAAAAAAATTCTTAGACTCTTAATCCTAGAGTAGACTATACTAGTATGCATAATAACTAATCAAACCAACAATTCAATTAATCAATACCAATAAGCATACAAATTATTCAATAAATAAAAATTCAGTTCAACTAATCATATGAATAATTGTATACTTTATGTAATAATTCAATTAATTAATCAATAATCAAGAATTCAAATTTTCTTTTTTACCCTAAAAAATAATTTCATAATTTCATTACAATAATCATAGAATCATATCAATAATCAATAACCAGTAACCATATTAGTGCATTACCCTATGATTCTATACCAATTAAACAAAATTCGTTTTAAATAATTAATTAGGGTTAGGGATTATAAATTTAAGAATTAAAAAAATTTACCTAAAGAGTGCCTTTGAAGGCTCAAGGCTAGAAGTCGGTGGCTACATAAGAGTGGTTGCTGGAGTGGTTAACGGTTGGTGCGGCTAGGACCTAGGAATTTCTATTCTGTTTCCTGCTGGGAATTAGGGGGCAGCATTGCTGCACCTTGTTGAAGTTCTCCAGTGCAAATGTAAGGATAGTCTAGTGGCACAAGAAAGGGTGTCTAACCACAGGAACTGATAAACAACTTAGTAAAACCTTTGACTCTTACATATTAGCATTAGTTAATA